ATTCCACAAAACTTTTCATTCAGCCAGAGACGATACCTTAGCACCAAGGGACATTCCTCCTCGTGGTGCCTCACTATGTCCTGTGGTTTATTCTGACTTTTATTCATCCACTTAAAAATTTAGGGAAACCACTTATGTGACAAGCTTTGGGCTGAGCACAAGACATAAAGACAGTAAACAAGACAAGCATGTCCATGACTTCATAGGGTTCAGTTTATTAGGAAAGTGTTAGGATTTAGATATGAAGTATCTCCCAATAAGCTCATGTGTTCAAAGCTTTGTCCCAGTCTAATGGCGCTATTGAATGGATATTGGACCACGAGGGTGCTAACTTCATCAATAAGTTGATCCATTGACGAGTATATAAGTGAAACAGCTATTAGGAAGTGAGAACAATTAGAGGAAGGAGGTTACTGGCCACATGAATTTGAAACAAAAAAAAAATTTTCAGGCAACTAGTACATTCTTATAAAAAGTTATTCACATAGTAAATGAAATAAAAACTAAGTAAGGGGTTGTGAATAAAGTTCAGTAGAAGAATACTTATCTACTAAGTGCCAGGACCTGAGATTGATTCCTATAAGGTTTACTCAAATAAATGAGTAAATAAAACAGACAAAACTAAACATGGAGGAAAAATATAATTCATTTAACTCCTCAGTACAACCCAAATGAGTGGAAAGCAACCAGTTATCTTCCTAAAATTCAAACTAGTAAATTTATTAACTGTATTCCCAAAACTAGTAATAATTCTGAACAAATTTCTAAAATCAATAGTTTTTTAAGTCAGTACCCTTTAAATATTAAAGAAAATAGAAGTACTTACAAAATTTCCCTAGACTTAACTTAAAATAATGTTCAGATTATTTTAAAATTTCCAGTCAAGATCAAAAGTTTCATCTCTAAATTCACTATTGAAGATGATGTGGAAAATAATAATTAAGTGTGTGAATGATACAAGTGAATGCATGACTCATAGTTTGCAAAGTAAAATGATTGTGGGGAAAGGCACAGGAAGGAGACGAGCAAATAATGGATTCTGGATGAGATGAAGACCTTTAGTGTCCAAGGACTGTCACCAATTCTTTATTACTTGAGGATTAAGGGAACAGCGAATAAAGCTGCCTGCCAGACCTCTGAAAAGGTAAAAATAACATTATCTCTAAGCGTGCCTCACTTGAAAGTTTTCAGAAATAACATTCATAAAATTAAACTTTCGATTAAAAGTTCCTGGAATATCAAACTCAAATCTGAACAATAGAAATGTCAAAGGAAACAAAGATTACATTTTTGCCAAGAACATGAACAGAATGAAACAATGGTTTGGGTCAAGATGCATGATCATCTAATTTTGTTCCACTTGGTTTTTAGGGCCAAAAAGCAGATACAATACAGATTTACAAGAAGACTATGTAGGGTTTCTTTTTCTACCTGTGGGCTAGTACAAAATAAATATTAAGTACTTCTAGGAAAGTTCAAAAAATTGACAAAATACGCTTCATTTCTGAGGGTCCAGAATTCAACTGCAAGCTAGCTCCATACCACACCACTTCTCCTTTCATGTTTGCTTGTCTGTATGCATGCATAAAATACATCATATATATATCACAGATCCAGCCAGTCTAATCTACTTGCTCCAACTTAAGCCTCAGAACAGAAATTTGGGTTCTGTTTATACATGTGCATGTATATGTCCAAGGTGAGTTTGGACCAAGGCAGCAATTCTAGCATTG